AAAGTTGTTGTAGATAAAGTTAAATTAGAATTATTTAATCAATTGTGTCCAGTAATATAATCTGAATCATCTGAATTTGTCTCATGTGTTAATATTCTGTATATTTTGTAATTTTATTTTATTGTCTTCTGTTGAACAACTTCCAGTTTATCACCTTTGTATATTAATCAAGTTTTCTAATTACAGTTTAGAGGAAAGGAGAGAGATGAAACATGAATATCCACTGACAGATTAAGGGCTCATGAGATTTGTTTACTTGGTTATAATAAATTTGGAAAAATTTAGACTTTTTGTTTTCAACATTGTCCAACTTTTGTTTTCATGATGATATCTTTTTAGACCATTTACTGACAAAAAAAAAAAATTTGAGATGAAGATTGCTGTTATCAGTGTGCAAATGTATTTTTACAAAATAAATAACTTCATTGCAACGAATGGTTGTTGAGTTAAATGGTTTGAGTTGAGCCTTCCTATCAGCTTGAAGCAGTCTGCCTGTTCTCCTCTGAACTTTGACATCAGGAATTATCACTGTTGAGATTTAAATATATATATTTTAAGGCTTATTTTCTTATTATATTGTTTTATGTACTTTAATAATGAAGGTTTGTACAGCAAGGCCACTTTTGACTCAGCCAGACTGAAAAACAGGAAGTTAGTATAGAGCTATACAAGTATATTAATAAATACAGGAAGCCAGACAGAAAAGAGGAACTTTTACCATATAAGGAGTGTTTGTATCGAAACTGTGTGACATGTAAAGTACCAAAATAACACCTATATGTGAGACGTTTTTAAATTCTAATGTTAGAGTTTCTGCAACTGGCTTTTGGGGCTGTGCAGGGCTCTCTCTTCCGGAAGATGATTGAATAAAAAGAAATATAAATGTTTTGACCACTATGAGTCAGGTTTTCTCTGTTCGATCATGGGGATAAAAGGATCGGGTTTTAATATCACAAAGCTGGACTGCCTGGTGGGTCGATGGTGATTTTTCGTTTTTATGGGCCAATGTTTTTTGGTTTTTTGGGGTTTTTTTGTAACGGTATAAACAATAAAAGGTGGTGGATTGGCCAATTGGTCACTATCGACTCTGGGCTGGACCAATTACAGCCAAGGAGGTCGGATGCACCCTCCCCCTTGATTGGGTAACGGCTCTGAAAGCAATCTTATTACAGAGAAACTGAAGAAAATAGCGTTGAGGTGAAAAGGAACACGATTTGTCGCGCTAGAATGAAAAAAGACACAAAGTTATTCTGTCTTTACGCTGTTATCTGCCTCTTCTTCTCTCCCCCTCCCTCTCTCGTTGCTACTTCAATCATCAGTAGCGGTTTTTGATACGGGCGACACGGGCGGTTGCCCGGGGCGGCATCGTGGTGGGGGGTGGCATCACGGGCATTGGCAAAAAAAAAAAATTGCTCGTA